AACATGTTTTTTGAATCCCCTTGAATCCCACGGTTTCGTCTTTTTGTAAATTTCGCAATTTGATTGGTTGACTAATCTATTTTGACTGGTCGATACAATGAGTGATCTGTGTAACGAGAATGAAAATCATATCTATATTTGGACGTTTCCTCCGATCCAGACCCATAAGATGTGGTGATAAATTGGGTGATTGGTAAGTAATGAGACATTAATGAGATAAATAATGATGTATTGGGTGATAAATTCTAAGTTTGATAGAATAAACGATGGTAAGTATGAGGTCATAGTAAATAGCTATTTAAGAGTGTTTGGATCGGGAAGTAGTTCTTCCTCTTTTGTAGTTCAACAGTAGTTTAGCTTTGTCGTTAATACCCACCCACTTACCGCCAACAAAGGGAGAGAGATGTTTGTGTGTGGGGATGTTTGGTAGTTATGGGTATGTCGATAGCTCGAGTGGACAAACCGGATATCAAGATGAGTGCTTTGATAGCCCGACTGAGATATCAAAGGAGATAGAATAGAATAGATTGATGCTAGGAAATAGCTATTGACCACTTGAGTTGTAAGGCGATATCCCATATGTAAATTCCATGGTATCTGTTTGATGTAGTCATATGATCAAATTTTAAGTTAAACTAGTTTTTTAATATAAAATAAATATTTACAACACATTCGTTAATATTTGATTGAAATGTTTTTTAGTTTTTTTTTAAAAAAAATAAGCTATTATGCAAAATTTTGTCATTGAAATAAAGGTGCGAAGCCCTTGTTACAATAAATAATTTTGCTTTAATACGTATCTGTACAAATAAAATAAATAAAATAATTATACTAAGCTATTGATAAAATTTTTTTGTTAGGCGAACTATCTACATAAATGATAAAAAATGAAACCACTTGATGAAGCAGCAAAACACTAACAAAATTCCAAGATAAAATCCTCTTAATTTTCTTCAAAAATCAAATATATTCAATTAATTGTTAATATGTTACTAACTTAACCGAAAAATAAATATCAGCCAGTCATAATATTACATAATCAGGAAAAATAGCTATTTTTACTTAAAAAAAAAACTAAATAAAATTATGAATAAATAACAAAATCGGTATAAAAGAATGTCTTTTTTAAAAAAAATAATTTCTTGTAATAATAACAGATGAATTCATAATAAGTTCTTCAACACAACCAAGAAATTATTTTTTTGCTAGTAAAAATAAATCGAAAATAATCAAAAGCATTAACTAAAATAATTTCTTCAAAATAACCAAGAAAATTTTTATCTTATTGCTAGTAAAAATAATTTAAAAATAAGTGTTTCGACACAACCAAGAAATTTTTTATAAAGGCTTTGTCTATACTTCATTTTTAAGAATAAAATTTTTTGAGAAACCTATATTTACAAACTTTCTTGTAATTTAAACCCAATTTCAACCATTTTCTTGGCCGAAAGGTTTGCTTTTTCTTCTAACAAAAAAAATAATTGATAACAATAAAACTACTGAAACAAATGATAAAATTGTTTAATTGTTAAAGTGAGATTATTTACTATTAAATTGAAAAAATAAAGCATTAAACTCAACGACAAAAATAATAATTTGAACTTTTTAACCACTCTGATCAGTGATATAATTTGGTTCATCAATAGGGATGTTAATCGGTCCCGCAGTAATTGTCAGCCGACTTTGAGCAATATTTATAAAAAATTGGCATTTTTAACCGGTATTCGTCCAGTAAATAAAGTCATAGAAAAATAATTTTTCTGTTACATTTTCTAATAGAAGTTTATCGGTTTTTGCATTAGTTTTTGCGTAATTTAAATGGGACCGATTAGGGACCGATTAGCTAAAATTTCTCCACACTGTTCGGTCCCTAATCGGTCCCATCAAAACTACTCAAAAACTAATGCAAAAACCGATAAACCTCTATTAGAAAATGTAATAGAAAAATTAATTTTCTATGACTTTATTTATTGGACGAATACCGGTTAAAAATGTCAATTTTTTATAAATCTTGTTCAAAGTCGGCTGACAATTACTGCGGGACCGATTAACATCCCTAACCGGACTGCATATTCTGGACCTTTTTGTTCGGTATAGAGTAAGTTCGTTATACAATATACTCTCTCTATACCGAACTGTTCGGTATATAAAGCTAACCAAACTAAAATGTTTGCGGAAATATTCGGAATTTTACTCGAAATTTTGCTTGTTCATTCATTTTTTTCGGAATATTTCGGATTTCATTACTTCGTATGTTGCATACGAAATTATATAATAGTTCGCTATATCGAAATATGCATACATAGTTCTGGGCTGGTAAAAAGGAGTTCGGATACGGTATATAAAAATTTACTACGTATTTAAGTTCAGTATAGCCAGCCTAATTTATTATAAAAAATCCGTTCTGCCAAATCCGGTTCGTTATAGCCCGATTTCAGGTTCGGTATATCCGTAAAAATTTCAGTCAAAATTCATCGAATGTTTGAAATTCGAAATATTTATGGCTTACAAAAATACGATTAACGTATGCTTCATTCGATTTTGTTTCATACGATATTTTTTGAATACAGAAATGCTTCATTTAAAAATACAGTAGTCATGAAATCTACTTATTAGTTGATTAATTGCTGTAATTGAGATTATGATTTTAACTAATGGTTTTTTTTTTTTTTATGGGAAATCTTTATTTAAAAACAACACTTTAAAGTGTTCGGGAAGAGTTTTGAGGGTAGAGCATAGGTGCGTTTTAGTAAGTGGCTAGAATTATGTTAATTTGACCAGAATTATAACTTTAATAGTGACTTTTAATCTTTAAAAAAAATATATATATGTATTTATTTTCGTGATACAATCTAAAAATTCCTAATTTACTCGCTGGTTTAAGCCGTAAAATAAATTTAATGTCAAAAGTGTTTGACATTACCGTTACGGTAAATTAAAGTCATTTTGAGAAATTCGTAAATATTATTGGGACTTCGCCTAATCCCAAATTGGTTCGTACGTACATGAATCAGTCAGAAAGATCACAATGAATTCTTAGATTAAGAAAATTTTGTGATTGGTGATTTATTTGCAGTTACATATTGCACATTCTTATTTCAATAATTAAAAGCTCAATTATAATTATATGATGTACAGTTCTTAAATCTTCCAGAGATTATAGAATAAAACTACGTAATCTAATAGATAGTCTACTCTTTTTTATCTTTCTCTTCTATAACATTCCGCAAAGCTTTATATATCTTTGGCACAAATATAAAATTGGCCACTCCTATAATGATGGCCAAAACAAGTATTAAATTTATCGCCACCCGTGGGACTCCATATACAAGCGTTTCCAATACTATCCGAATGATATGAATATTATGAACCTTATATTTATTAGTAAACCGAAAAAAAAAGATAAAAATTGCCTTACCAACGTTGTAAATTACAGGTCTGGAATCTCTGCCACGATGGATAGACACACCATCATAAATGGCTCTCACTCTGAGAAATTTTTTTGTAGTACTCAACTTTAGATGAGAACCCTTCGTATAAATCATAAGTATAAACATATTAGAATATTATGAGAAATCGATGTCTCAATTTAAAATTACCTGTTCATCTGTCGCGTTATTTTTTTTCACGATTTTCATAACTTCTTTGAAATCCATTATATTTAACACGAAGATTGTGGGCGACTTATTGAAAATTTTAATAAATTAAAATTTTTAATTTATGATTAACTGTTCTAATACAAAATGAATAAACACATACCGTTGAAGCATAAGATACTCTTGTCTCATACGTCTTCCCTTCTTCTAATTCGTCAAGAATATACCAGTGTTCTTTTTCACTTTGTTCCGTACTTTTGAATTCCTCAGAATTTTTGTAAGGTATGACGCGTTCGTAGCGTTGGATTGTATATGGTGGCTTTAAAGTCTTTACAAAGTAACATTACGTAATTGTTCAGCTATGATTCTTTTAGAATTCACGCTTAAAATAACAATAATAATTAATAATTAAATTAGCCCACCAAAAGACCTTCTTGCATACTCCAGTTGTTGACTTCATGGAAAAGTGATTCTGGAATGATTTCGGTCTTAGAAGTAAAAACTTCTTTTTCTGTATTGGCAGAGATTGAATTATAAAACAAACAATACGGGAGCAATAGCACAATAAATATATTCTTGAGCCAGGACTCCATTTGTACAGGAAAAAGGTTGCTAGTAGAGAATTAATTTACCGCATTATATCAATTATATCATCAATTCATGGTTGTACACGGTTTGCTATACGTGATACACCTTCAAGTTAATAATCCATGAAATTTGAGAAACGCAAATCTCTAAACACGAAAAACACGGTTTCAAAATATTTATATTAATATATAAATTGCCAAAACTCCCTAATGTTAATAACAACATTAATACTCTAAGCACAGGCACTATATAAATCCTCAAGTGCTGGTTTTTTAAATTTTATCTTTTCGGCTTCAAAGCATATACAATATATCTAAAGTGCTGTAAATCGAAATACTAAATACATGGTTTAATTGTTTTTCACATCAAAAAAAAGTACTTAGAGATTCAATTGTAACAAGTAAACAATATTGATACTAATATCGACATTATTAATATGTATGGTTATGTATTAGTTGCCGCATATAATAAAAATGTATATAATCTTTGACGATGAATAATTTTTTGATTCGCAGGTCCATTCTAAATAGTTTTACCACCAAAATTACTGCCTCAATGAGACGATCCTAGCGAGCCCAAATCACCAAAATCCAATCACGAAATCCAAGATCGTTAAAGATTGTATTACTTTTGTAAAATCAGATGGGTTAAGCCCATTAGTTTCTACTCCAAGTGATACAAATCTTTAACGATCTTAGAATTTTGCGATTGGGTTCTATATATTTTATTTTTAAATGCGAACGTTTCGCTAATATAAAAATACTGCACAATCGATCATATGATAAATCATTAAAGAACCTGATTACATTTGATTAAATTTGCCAAAAGCAACATCGAAGAATAAATTTTCTCTAAAATTTCGCCAGCTGTTTATTATACAAATTTATGACTTACTACTTGCAAGTTTTATTGTTCGGAGCGAAGCGGAGGACTTATATGTTCAGGTCATTAGTCCAGGAGTGTCATAGGACGACATTCATTTGATTGGTTAATTTTGGTTGATCTACCCGTGATCGCCCATGATAATTAGCCAATCAA